GTGGTTTAAAAGAAGCAAGCCAGGTGACGCAACGATTTACTCATTGAGTGTCTTACTAAAATCTTAAAGATGAGTTGGCAGGATACGCTCTCGGACACTCAAATTCTGGAGGAAACCGGGATCCACGGCATTCACGCCATGCCGACCTAGGGCGGTTATCGTGACAGCTTTCTTTAGCAGAAGACCACAGCTGCTATGACCCTCGAGCCAGATTCTCCATGGGCAGAGGCAGGGAAGGGCTCAGCTGCTTTCTGCTATTCACATTTCGCCTCTACGAGACCATTTTCAATGGCTATCTAAAAATTTTATAACAATCGCGGTTCGGTTTTGCAATCCGGACGTAAAATTGAATCAGACAGGTCGCGCGAATCCTGTGTTTCATCCTTTATTAACTTGTTTACACTTCTGAACTTCTGCAGGAGAGGATTTAACTCATGTAGGATGTTGATAATCAAACGAAAACCTTAATTAACGTATGTATGAAAACTTTAAGGTAATAATGAACAACCGTAACTGAATTGAAATATTAAAGGAGACACAAAAATTAGTATTGAGTGGCCTAGTGATACCAACTTTTTTAAAGCGGCCGATTCGGCAAGGAATAAAAATCACTGTAACTTAGACAATTAAATGCACACGAAATGTACCTAAGTTGTTAACATAAAATGTTAGAACTGATTTCATTTGTACGCTAGGACAGCATTCCCCTTGTCAAATTTAATTACAGGTATTTTTGACACTGGATTACAAGTAGTGTCACATCTTACTTGAAATCCCGCCGATACCTTCACGATGTGCCGTGTTTTTATCTTTTTTTCCAAAATTTAGATCATTTTCTATGCGCTTATCTAAGCCTTTAAAATATGTGATCTTTCGAAAAGGCATTTACGGAAAAATTAGGCCTTTTGATATTGTGTATTAGAACGATGACTGCTTGGGTCGTATTTGACACCTCCTCGATTCTTAGAAGCCGGTGACTGAGAAAAATGAAATTCAACTGAAAACATTTACTACTAACATGTGTGAAATCAATACAAAGTATTTATACAGTAGATTGTGACTTTACAAATGTAGTCAATTTACATAGTCAACTAACGAATGTCTGCGTACAATATCTTATTCAAAATTAACTCCGAAATAGATTGCGTAGTTTTGAAGGTTTTTGATTTAAGTGAAAAGTAGTGATATTATTCTGCTGAAAATCAAATAACTCACTTTTTAGTTTATATTGGAGCGTTTTGCTCTTTATTGGTTTACTTTGCCTGCCTGTCCCGTGGCCGCTAATGCACAATTGTGTGAACTAAACTACATCTGGTGCGGATGTAAAAACAAACGACTACCCAAGGGACTGTTCTATGTAGATGTCGCTATGGGTGAACAAAAATGTGCTTCAAGGGCACTTTTAAGCACCTTCAAATCAACACGGTGAATTAGGAGGTACTCGTACTAGCGAAAACCGGCGCAGCTGCCTACGAAGTCAGTCGTGTCGCCGCTGCCAAAGGGAAAAGGACGGCGTGCAGGTCACAAATCCAACGGAAATTGGTTACCGACGCTCAAACACTTCCAATCTGCACCTTTTGTGCACTTATTGGCTTGCTCGACAATCTCCAAACGTAATGAACCGTCCCTTCAACGACATCAAATTCTACGGCGTTAAACACGCCATCAGTGGGTCCTGTTTCC